ATCCTCCTGCCTCAGCCTCCCGAGTAGCTGGGACTACAGGCATGCGCCACCATGCCCGGCTAATTTTTTCTATATATTTTTAGTTGTCTGATTAATTTCTTTCTATTTTCAGTAGAGACGGGGTCTCGCTCTTGCTCAGGCTGGTTTCGAACTCCTGAGCTCAAACAATCCGCCCGCCTCGGCCTCCCAGAGAGCTAGGATTACAGGTGTGAGCCACCGCGCCCGGCCTTAGTTCATTTTTTAATGAGTAAATACTGTGAGACAAGACAGAGATGTATTTATGAAGGTCAAGACTCATAGGGATGTTCACTGGTTAGGGAGCATGTGTCTGTGGGATTGTGGTCTGGGAGTGCCAAGTGCTGGCTTGTTGTAGGGAAGACCCTTCTTGGTCCCACTGTTCAAGGTCTTGTGCTTAGTGTTGTGGGTATTGACTGGATTTCCTTAGAACACTCAGAGATGGTCTCTGGGGGAAGATGTACTTCACTTAAACTCATAAGAAACATGTTCTAACTAGAATAAACATCTATTAATTGATAGTGGGGACCGTTACTTTCCAAATGCTGGAATGCTGTGATCCTCTGTCTAGCATTCTTCTGCCCTAATATTTAAGTATCTGAAATACTAACCAGGAGATTTCTTGATGAGCATGGAATGAGAATAAAGAAAATAAATGGAATAGTGTGCCAGCCAGGGATATTAGTTGCAAGTTGACTTCTGGCTGACTTAAGACAAGAGAAGGGGGGAGAGGAAAAGGAGGAACAGGAGGAGAAAGAAGAAGAGGAGCAGGAGGAGAGGGAGGAGAAAAAGAAGGAGAAAAAAAAGACTCTTATGAGAGAATATTAGGTAGTTCACAGAATCACTAGGAAGCCCGGAGAACCAGGCTGAAGTGGGAAAGCCCAAAGGTAGACTTTGAAGCCAAAATCACTGGCAAAATCACACCTCTGAGCAGTCTGGAAAGGGGCATCCTAGCCATTTCTGCCATTGTAAGTGGCCCAGACATTGGCCTTTGCAGTGGCTCTGGAGCCATTGCTGCCAATCAGGAAATGCCCCTGACACAAAGGAATGTCCCTGTTTTTTGTGAGACTAGCTCCAAATTCAGAATCTCTTGTGGAAATAGCCAAGTTTAAAATGTGTTCATGCTGTAGCTGGTGGGGTTGCTGGGACAAAAATATATTCAGCTTCTAAAGTGATAGACAAGTCTGCTCCCCCAAAACCCAGAATGTAGGAAATTCTTCGGACACAGGAAGGAAGCATCAGGTATTGGGCAGCCAAAATAATGACAAATGTCCACTATGAATTATTTAAGGGGTTATTTGTCCTCAACATCAGGAAAACCTAATGTGTATATGTATGTATGTATGTACGTATATCTATTTAGGGGCCATATCCAAATAGTTTGCTTTTCTCCCCAGTGTCTCTGTCCCTTAGGCAATGTTAGATCCATTTATTTGTATCTCTTTGTTCCCTGATTTTCTGTGTGTCATCCATTTTTGCTTTAGAGGTGATGTGGAGTCTATAATTAAGCCAAAATATCTCCCCGCATTGTGTGTTGATTCAGTTAGTCTCAGCCTCAGAATTGTTGCTGTGAAGCAAAGGACTCAACCAAATACCATGAGGATCACACAGCATAGGCTCCTCACGAGCACAGGGTGCCTCACAGGACCAGAACGGCAGATGCCATCCAGAGAGGTGTGCTTTGTCCAAAGCAGCGGGGACGCATCATGGATTGTGCTCCAGGACCGAGGAGGCCCTGCCCCACTGCCACTATGCCTTTTTATAGGCAAGTAAGGCAAGAGAGAGGCTTTGCAAGTTAGGTGGATGAGGAAATGGTTTGAACCTGGGCACTGCCAGCTACCCTAAGGAGTTGCACATTCTCTCCTATTACCTGGAATCCTTGTGGGACATCGAGAGCATATGCAGTCCTTCTCACTGCCGGCCTATTTTCAGGTAGCAGATAATCCTTTCTCCACAGCTGCATATAAGCAGCATTACCTCGTTGGGCTCTGCATCTTTGCATGGCCACAAAGCTGATTTTGTCAATAGACCCACAGACAGGCCCAGAGGCCAGATTCATGCTAACAAACTCACACTGATATTGAAACAAGATTGCTAATTTATTGCTTTGCAGTGAGAACTACATCTGGCAGGCATGCCAGAATATAAATCCGGTTGGCTGGTTCTCTCCCCAACTAGGAAAAAAATATCTAGTTTATAAAAGAAAGTTTGCCTGAGGAGTAGGAAACCATTGCAAGGGAAGTTGTTTTTCTTTACCACCTTATCCCTAGGGCCTTGAATAGTGTCAGAAAGATAGTAGGCATTCAATAAACATTTGTTGAATGAATAAATGCTATGCCAAGTTATTCACATAGTGTTAACTGTCACTGCCATTGAAATGAGATAGACACCCACTTATCAGATACAGTTGCACAACGGAAAAAAGTATCAGCCTTGGAGTTACATAAATAAGAGCCTGAATTCGCAGTCTGCTATTTACCTTACTGAGTTTCCATTTCTTCATAAGTAAAAGAAGTATAATCTATAGAATTAGGTTTGGCCAAATATAATAAGGACGTCAGAAACAGTGGCTTTGAATATTATAGATGTTTATTTCTCTCTCATGTAGAAGAAGTCCGGAGGTAGGCACCCCAAAGATGACGTGGTGGCTTCGTGGATGTTGGGGACCCAGGCTCTAATTATTCTGTTCCACTATCTCAGTGCATGACTTTCATTTTCATTTAGCTCATGATTTAAGATGGCTGCTGAAGCTTCAGCCATCACATCTTTCTCTCAAAATAAATAAATAAATAAAGCTCTAATTTGTACCATTTGCCAGTTTCCATTGCATAATAGTCCCACTATGACTGATTTCAAGCTGCCAACAGTTTAACAGGCAGATTAAAAAATTCCCATATATGTAATAATCAGCTCTTGGGAACCTCCAACTGTCCCTCTGACACACTTCCCTTCCTGCTTGGTGGTAGTGGAGTGGCCATAGGCATTTTAAGATTCTACTATGGGGAAGTTGAGTTGATGTTGCATTTAGTTTAGGCTTAATGTCATCTATTTATGTGAGTTGAAGGCAGTTTCATATATACTTAAGTTATTGATAGACCTCCTGGGGTAGGAATAGTTTCCAGAAATATTCCTACCCCACTGTGCTGACCTGCCTGGAGTTGTGACATGAATGTGCAGGGCCAGATAGCATATCATATGAAAGTTTCCTACAGGTCCTTGCCCCCAAAGTATGTGGGTAGTTGTCTTAGTCTGTTCAGTCTGCTATAACAAAATACCATACCCAAAACGGGGTGGCTAATAAACAGAAATATATTTTTCATAGTTCTGGAGGTTGGGAAGTTCAAGATCAAGGTACCGGCAGATTTTGGGCCTGGTGAGGGCCCACTTTCTGGTTTATAGATGGCACCTTCTTGCTGTGTCCTCACATGGCAGAAGGAGCAGCCACTCTGGGGCCTCTTTTATAAGTACACTAACCCCATTCACGAGGGCTCCCCCCCTCATGACCTAATCACCTCCCAAAGCTTCTACCTCCTAATACCATCACATGGGTGAGTAGGTTTCAATATATGAATTTTGGGAGGACACGTTCAGACCATAGCAGTAATGAAACAACAAAAAGATGTGGAATGCTCAGAGTTATAAGTTGGCATGTGGGAAATGATCAGACATGTGAAATTATTAAGGTAAGGATTTGGTTCTTATTGATGTCTAGCCAAAATGGTTCTCTCCTGTTAGGAATAAACTTGATAATAAAACTATAAAAGTTCCAACAATTTTTAAAAGGGAAATGTAGGCATAAATCTGTCCTAGTACTTCAAACAGCCAGTATGTCTAAGTGTGAATTACTACATGTTACATATCACAACATATGGATCATATCTTAACATGATATTAAATGAGTATGAAGCTGAAAGAAAAATTTCTAAACAATCAGAAATTAAGAAACAAACATTGATCAATCATGCTAGAGAACAGACTGAATTATCTTTATATTTTCTTTAGAGAAAATATTACAAAATTGTCATATGAAGAAGGGATCAACAAACATGTGGGCAAAAACGTGGGAAAAACTATTACAAATGTGTAGTAGGCATTACTCAATAAAAATACGTTATACCTATGTGGAAAAAGATAAAATGAAATGCATACATTACATGCCTTGTACCATACACAAGAATCTAACACCCTTTTTGTCTTTCATAACATTGACATTTTGGAGGAGTCCAGGCCAGATGTTTTGTAGATTGACCTAGACTTTGAGTACATCTGATTGTTTCTTCGTAGTTAGATTCAGGTTAGACATTTTTTGCAAGAGGACCACATGGGCGATGTTGTTCCTTTTTCAAGTGCATCACACCAGGACGCATATGGGGTCAGATCGCCACTTATTGGTGATGGTAGTTTTGGTCATTTGGTTAAGATGGTGCACATCCTTTAAGTGGTGATATGCATATATATATATCTGTAAAATCACACAGCGACTATGTTCACACTCTGAGAAGCTAAGTATGAGGCAAAACTTAAAGTTCGCAGCAGGAGGCAGTCGCTTTCCCAGACTCTGGGAAAAAAACGGTCCAACCACGCCCACGCTCCTGCCCGCCCGCGCCTCTTTTCACGGAAAATCAACTCTCAGAACCAGAGAGCCCCCTACTCACACGAGCCCAAATCTTTTCCTATCAGCATGCGTGCGCTTGCGCAATCTCCAGGCGGCTCCTTTGCAGGGCCCGACCGCTTCTTTCTGCTGCTCTCCTCCGGCCTCCCCCCTCCCACAGCTCTAGCTTTTCCCTAAAGGGTCATCACAGGGCGCCAAACGCTGGCCCGCGAGAAGGCCGGGGGTGGGGCTGGGCGCAGCGCGGCACGTCAGTGGCCTTCCGGGCGGAAGTCCGTAGCCTCCCGAGCAGCTGATTGGCTTTTGGGCTGGCGCCTGTCTCAACCCCCGCGCCAGTTTCGTGCTGGTTGGCGCGGAATCGGTGGAGTCTGGGGCCATGGCGCCCGTGCACGGCGACGACTGCGAGTTGGGAGCGAGTGGTGAGGGACGACTCCGCGCGCGGGGCTCCGGGTTGGCACCGTGGCATGATTGCGGGTGGTGGAGTTCAGGGAGGGAGGTCTCTGCTTTATTTTTTTTTTTCTGAGGGAGACACGCGTGCCTGGGTTACCCCGCGGGTCTGTTTGGGCTCAGACTTTGGTCGTCTCGGGCGAGGGCCCTTCTGGCGTCGGACAGGGTTTCCTTGCGGGACTGTTTGCTCTTGGCAAACCAGAACTGCAGGATTTTTTTTGTTTCGAATGCTGTCTCACCCCTGCTACTGATGGTCTCTGCAGTCGCTTGCCTTTTTATTTATTTATTTTTTTGGTGAGTTGCACCCACGTGCTGGGCATAACTTCATGGAGACTGGCCCCGGTGGGGCACTGTCTTGGCTGAAAGTATTTTACTGCTGCCATCCCAAGTATCCGCTTGAGGGCTAGGACAGAACAGACGTGTGCCCTCCTTTTTAGGAACTCCCAGGAAAATTATTATACATTGTAACTGAGCAGGAAAGAAAGCTCTAAGCGCTGTCACCAGTACAAACGCATTTTGTCTTTTTAGGTAATGGGTTTCTACTTTATGCATTAACAGTTTTTCTTTCACATTCTTCTCTGGAAAGTTCTTCAAGTGTTGCATAGAAATAGTGTTCACAATCTAGTCATTTCTGGTGAAGTTTCTAAAAAGAAATGCATCCATTCAGCAGCATTTCGGATACCCTGTGTATCACTCAGTTTGTCAGTGGTAATCTTTTATTTCCAAAAATAGAATACAAAAATGCAAATGGCTTTGTCTGATTTCTGATCAGTGTTCAACTAAAGTGTGACTTAACTTCAGTGAACTTCTAACTTAAAATCAGATTCTTCATTTTGTTAGCTCAAGTGTCACATCTCCTGTCACTCAGATACATCACCATTAATGAGAACTTATTTCCTAATCAGCTTCCTTTGCATTCACCTAGTTGCGAATTACAGATTTCAATTTGTTCTTCTAGCCTTTCGTTTTTTAAGACAATTTATTTTGGAGAGACGGCTAGCCTGGATTACAAATGGGTTGTAGGATGTGAGTATGTGAACAGTCTTTGTAGCCATCTATCAGTGATTTGCCACTAAGCCCTTTCTTCACCCTAAAATCTGTATGTCATCCGTGAACATCAAGAAAATCACTCTCTGGAGGATACTGTGCAATCTTGAGACCCCTCTTAAGTCATGGTGTTGATTAAGTAGTTGCTGGGGACTTGTGACTGGAATTTTTCCTTTAGGGCAGACTGAAAGGTTGTTACCTGAAAGACTGTTGCAGGCTACTGTGTCTGCTTTTGTGGAGGGTGGAGATACATGGTAATTTTGAGCCAAATATTTAAACCTTTGTAACTGTATTTTTTTCATGCTTATTCTTTTCTGCTAACTTGGCTACAGGAAGCATTGACGATATATTCCAAAAAAGAAAATCCAGGGGTTTTTTCTTGAGTATTAGAAGGTGGGGCACCTTGAAAATGGCAGTGAAAAGTTGAAAAGTCTGTAAGTAGCTGCTATTATTAATGTATATGAAAAGAGATAAGGGGAAGTTTAATGATCAAAAAAGTGGATACAATGGTTTATTCATTTGTTCACTGAGCAAATATTTATTATGTATCTACCAGGAATAGGCATTCTGCCAGGCTGTGGCATTAAAATGGTGAGTAGCCTGGACATAGTTTCTGTCTTCGTGAAGTTGAATTATAACTGTATAATTATATACAGTGCTATATTGAGGCTTCCCTGAGAAAACTGCTTTACTTTATTTTTGCATTCTGAAGCTAGACTGTGATACTGCTAGGTATGGTGTGTGTGCGGGGTATGTGTGTATATGTTTGACTATCCTGCATCCGCATACACACAGAGACATTAAATGAGCTTCCCCTATATTGCTAAGTGCAAAGTATGATAGGCATCCTCATATAATCCTTAACAGTTTTTTTGAAGCAGACGTGATTATCTCCATTTCACAGATGAGGACCCTGAGGCTCTGCATTAGAGTCCTTAATTGTAAGCTGCAGGAACCAACTGTAGCTAATTTAAACAAAAAAGGAATGTATTAGAAGTATATGTGTTTTTCACAGAAACTCCAGGAGGACCGGAAAGCTAGTCTGGGGGTTGCTTAGCTAGGAACAGTAATTGAAAGTGTGTCAGAAAACTGGGCCAGTAAGGAGATCATTGGCAATCTTGAGCAAATACTTGATGCTATAGCTTGTACTTTAGGACATTGCTTCACTGTTGCTCCAGGTTCTCAATCCTTCTGTAGCTACTGCTGCTTCTAGAATCTTCCTTAAGCCCCCCTCCTTTCCTTGTGACACTAGCTTCTGATTTAAAATGTAAGCAGGTGTTCCTGATTGGTAGAGCCTATTTTATGTGACCATGCCCCGGCTACAAGGATGTCTGGGAAAGAGCATCTACCTTTTCAGCTTCTGTAGTGGGACATAGGCTCTGCATCCCTTCAAGACTTATAAGGGGGGAATTTCACAGTTTCAGATGTTAGGTAGCTTACGACGAGATAGTTGTCCACTGCTTAACTGCTGCTTCTCCCTAATCGGGTTCTCCTACTCATTCTACACTCTCATGTCGAATTTATCTTGCACACTGACTTTTTCTCAGTTTCTTAATAAACCTTGCACTTTCATCCCTTTGTAATTTGACTCATGCCTCTTCCTCTGCTTGTGCTACTTTTTACCCTGTTCTTTGGTGGTGAAATTCTACTTTTTCTAGGCTTGTATTGGAAACCTCCCCTGTGAAGCCTTCCCTGATTTCCTAGGCAAAGTCCATGGCTCTTTTTGCTGTGTTTCTTCAGTAGTGTGTTCTTACCTCTTCTATGGCATCATGTTTATATTATGATTGTAGTCTCAGGTACTTTTTCTGTACTTGACTGTAGCCCCTTGAGGACAGGCAACTCTGTCTTATTTGTAATTGCACCCCAAACCCTGTGTAGTGGAACATTGTTGTCCATGGAGTAAGTCCATTTGAAGACCTATGGATTTTGTCAGGAATCAAGGGAATCTTGAAGGGGATACACTGAGGCCAGCTTTTCACTTTTAGTGGTCATGTTTAATAATCTCTCAAATCTTTTCATGTAGGCCTGCTCATGATTTTTGAAATCATTTGAGTGACACGCAAGATTTTGTGGCTGTCATTATTAAGTACTTGCATTCCTTAATTTTTACTTAATGTCTTTCTGAAAATGGATTTAAAAGTCAAATGTGAGAGTCAAACAATAGACTGAGATGTTACAAAGAGAGATTCCATTTCTAGAGAGCTAGAAAAAAACAAGATCTCTAATTATGCTTCACCTTTAAGATGTAGTTTTCAACAGTTTATTGCCAGCATTTAGTGCATGTTCTTTAAATTGTATCTTCTATTTCAGTCAAATAGCTTAATGTTGTTGTGAACATTCCAGTGGGGTTGGAGCTTTTAGGATGCCTCTTATCAATACTTCTCCTTTTCTGTGCCTACTCCTTTTTATAAATTAATTAGCACCAAATACAATAAAATACTCCATTTTACAGACATAGATGACAGTCATGCTAAGCCTAAACTCATGGCTGACCGGCAGCACTATAGTGCTTGACTTGGTTATTCATCAACTGGTTTATGAAAGTCGTAATTCTGTGGAGGAATTCTTTTTAGTATGTGTGTGGAGTGGTCAGTTTATAATGACCAAAAGCATGAATAATTCAAGGGTTAAATGAATGAACACTGAGATCCCCTGGTAGTTCAGTAATTTTTGACAAAACACATTTTAATCTTTGTAATTTTTTTACTGTCATCCTATAATATTATAACCAACTGGGGCCTTTAAATTAGTGATGGAATCAAGAATCTCCTCAGTGCTGTCTGTCTTAAATTCCCCCAGTTTCCAATCTATTCCTCCTTTGAAATTCCAGGTACTTTATCTGAACTTCTATTAGGACATGCATTACTTACTTCTAAATATTATTTTAGAGCCAGTTGCTACTTACCTCCCAAATTAGATTATAAGTTCTGTAAGTAAAGGGACCATGTCTTTTTGATCTTTGTGTCTTTAATAATGCCTAGTACTTTGCAAAGAGCAGATGCTCCTTAAAGTCTTGATTAACAGAATACAAAATGAATTGTCTTTCTTTTATAACACACTGGATTACTTGTGGCTTGTCATTTCTGATGGAAAGATTATGGACTAGCTAATGGCTGATCTCCCTTCTCTAGTGTCTCCATAGGATATCAGTTGAATTGGGGACGTTCCTCTTTTTGGAGCAAAAAAATAACAGTGGTTTCAGTTTTAACTGGATCTTAGAGAAAATTTCTGAAGGCACACATCTGCATATTTGGCCATGAGCTTTGGGAATGATTTACGTTGTTAAAAGTATCCATTTGTATAATATTAAAATTGTGTGTTGCTATTGGCAAGAAATGTTCCTTTGTTTTTGAGGGAAGATGACTGACACTTTTGTAACATAGTCTATAAATTTGGCTTTCTTCCAGCTGTGTCAGATTCAGGGAGTTTTGTAGCTTCTCGAGCCCGGCGAGAGAAAAAATCAAAGAAAGGGCGCCAAGAAGCTCTAGAAAGACTAAAAAAGGCTAAAGCTGGTGAGAAGTATAAATATGAAGTAAGTAACCATTTTTCTTTTTTTTTCTCCTGTGCTTCATTTAATTCATAGCTTGCAATTAGTTTTATGTCACCTTTGCCCCGATTAGAAATATTAATATATTCCACCCTCTTACAATATTTTTTAATGTTGAACATTCATGGGCTTGAGATAGGTTTACAGATTATGAAGAGTACTCAACTCTTAAAGTTTCTATAAGGCACTTTACACATGATTTGAAAATTCCAACATGAAAGGACATAGCTATATATTCTTCCTTACTGAGCATACTGTATCTCGGATAAGTCCTATGGCTTTGTTGGGGTAACTTGGAGGTACTTTTACTTTACTCTTAAGGTATCGAATGGTCTAGCTAAGCACTACTTCTCCTTGGAGAGAATTGTTCTTCCCAATCTCATTTACAAGGGGAGTAGCAGTGGGGACTTGGACCTTACTTCTGCCATGTCCTGCTTATAAGATTGAATGTGATGATCTTTTGGCCATTTTCTTCTAGCCACTGTTTGTGGCCTGCAGGTAAAGAAACAGAGTGGCTACCCTCTGCACAACATTGTCTAGCTTCACCTTCAGTGTTCCCTGAGTATCTTAATTGCCTTAAGGCTAGAAAGTGATTAATCAATACTAGAAAATAATAATATCAATAACAACAACTGATGTACATTTTGAACTGATACACTGTTCTAAGTGCTTTTTGCAGTATACTTACTTGTTTAATCCTTGCAATAACCAAATGAAATTAGATGCTGTGATTAACAACATTTTGCAGGTGAGATATTTGAGGCACAGAAAGTTTAGTGAGGTCACAGTGGCAGATGCTGTTTTGAACCCAGGCATTCTGGCTTTAGCATATGCATATTCTATAATCTATATTTTATTGGGCAACTAAGCAAATAGTAGATTTTTGCCATTTGGCACCATTTGTTCAAGTTAAGTGAGACAGCCAGATCATAAAGGGTTGCTAAAAGGATTATAGTAAAGCAGGAGTAAAGCATTTTTAAGTAGGTACTTCTGTAAAGGAGTTCTGTGGGACATTTCAGATGTTGGCACAATGTGGCTAATTTCCCTTTAAACACTGTGCTGTTAATTGTATGGCTCTAAGAGTTCATGCTGAGCAGTAACAATGTTGTTTTTAAAGATAGAGTTAAAATGACATTTTACTCGAAATGATTTTTAAAAATAGTTTTCTGATCTCTTCTTGATAGTATATAAGTGAATTATTTATTAATACATAGGCGACAAAGTATGTCTTCAACCAAAATAATTGTGCCGGTTCCCCTCCACCAGAAAAAAGAAAATTGGTCAGTATGGTAATATTAATTGGACTAGTTTGCATCAGGGTTGTTAAAAACTTAATTTGATAGGGCAGGTAGTTTCTGTTACCAGCTGGTCAAAGGCCAAATCATTATTCACCAGTGATCCCTGTAGCATAGGTTAAAAAGGAGGTGAAAACTAAGCCTAATCCTATAATTATTATAAGCCTTGTAGCTGTGGCAGAAATCCAGTCACCTCTGGCCATCAGACTTTCAAAGCTCTGTGTCCAAGTTTTTTCCTAGGTTGTTAACTCTTCAAGTGGAGTTAGTAATTTTCCCCACACCCCATTTGACAAAGGAAGAACTCTTGCGAGAAGGGGGGATTTTTAATAAGGTATCTATGAGATCTTACTAACCAGCCCACCAGATTCCCATCTGGGAAGTCAGTGGCCTGTCACCATGGACAGCTGTAGCAGTAGTGTGTATCTGTTTTGTTTGTTATTTTAACTATGCAGGGATGATCTGCTTTATTCATACCAATAGCTGATGGTGCTCTGACCCTCTGGCAGTCAGGCCGCCAGTGTGATTGGAGAACCTGCCACTCTCTGGACTTGCTTTTCAAATAGCTCAGCATTTAAGTCCCTATGCAGTTTCAAGACCTGAGGATGATGGGGGATCAGTGGTAATGCAAACAGGGATCACTCAAAAACCATTTCTAGTTTGCCTGTAGAACATAGAGTATGTTTGTTTTGCTAATTTTTGGAAGAGGATGGATGAGGGGAGATTTTCTTTTTGAATTATATTTGGTTGGTTGAATAGTTATTAAAATTATCATCTGTTCACAGAGCATACGTCAGCTAGTGGAGAGGAAGGTGGCATGCCTTACAGGTTTGCTAAGTATAGGAGAAACCAGTCTAGAAATTACAAGTGAATAATCCCCAAAGCAGCTAATGAAGAATTGGCTATAATTCAGTTTGTTTTTTATGAAGTAGATGAGTAATTGATGGTGTGACAAGTATATTATGCTAATGGAATCGTTTAATATCTTATGTTAACACCCACCTAAAAGGAATACTAAGTTAATTGATGTCTATTTAAGGAAAACCCTGTAGTGGTGTTGAATGTCAGAACTCATGATTTGGTTGCAGCTACTCCTTCAGGCTGCCATTCCAATTTCAGTTTGACAATTTTTTCATGAGAATTGTTTAACACTTTCACTCCATTTGAAGCTTTTTCTCGAACTTGTATAATGGCAGGTTGAGGACTTCACAAGTGTTTATGAAGAAGTTGATGAAGAACAGTATTCAAAGCTGGTTCAGGCACGCCAAGATGATGACTGGATCGTGGATGATGGTACGTGGGGGGAAATTGCCTGCCAGATACTGTGTCATTAAATAATTGCTTCTCGTGGATTCTAATGCAGTGGAGTTGCTGCTTTGCCTAGGCAGATAGATGAAAGGCACAGTTAGAATTTTACCATTGGTTTGGATTTTCCTTAATTATTTGAGGATGAGGAAGCAGAAGAATAGGAAGTTTATTTGGGGATATTTTGAAGAATCTAGGCATATACCTCAGAATATAGTATAAATCCTCCAGGATATAGCTATGTAGGAATTGGGAGGAGCCATGTGCCGGTGGGGCCAACGCACAGCATTTGGAATTAAGAAATGCAGGGTCAAGATTCATCTTGCACACTTTCCAACTGTATGACCTTGGACAGGTCACTTAATCTCTCTGAGCCTTAAGTTCTTCATCTGTAACATGGAGATAAGAAAACCACCTGTCTCCCAGATTTGCTGTGAGGAGTACACAAGGTTCTAGGTATGAAAAGTAACTTGAACAGTGGAAAGCACTGTGGAGAGGCTGGGCCTAATGTTCTTATACCCCTTGTAGAAAGCTCACTGGTTCCTGTTTGCAGGGTCTGACATTTTAGGCATGTGAATACTGACCACAGGGAGGAGATGTAGACTGTGCCTGTGACTCTTTATGTTTCTATAATACTTCTGTAATTGGACTTCGCTATATTGCCAGGTTTCCTTTGTTTGTAGCCTCAGGTGCCTTTCTGGACTTGTGGTAATCTTGACTCTTTCACTTGTTATTTTCTGGTAGAGTAAAACTGCTATAAAGCATCCTATTGTGGCAAACTTTGATGCTGTGGGCCAAATCATTTCCCCAGCTCACCTACCTGGATGTAATATATATCCTTCGGTTTTGATTCCACACCTGCTACGTGAATGCTGTGCCTTGTTTGACACCTGTTTGAACAGGATTCTGTTGCACTTAAAAATAGCACAAGCCAGGAGAACATCTGAGTGGGTTTAAAAGGGGTTTTTGTTTGTTTTTTTTTTTTTCGGTCATGGCTAAAATATTATTGGCCACTTTTAGAAACTTGATCCCAATGTTAAGTTTTATTACTGCAGATGGTATTGGTTATGTGGAAGATGGCCGAGAGATTTTTGATGATGACCTTGAAGACGATGCCCTTGATGTCAGTGAGAAAGGTACCTATATTTTGTTTTCATGAGAATGTCATTTTGAAATTTAAAGAATTATCTAAAATTTGAGATGACTTGCTACTCTGATATAGTTTCCCTTTGAGGGAAGGACCTACCATCATTGATTTTAGGTATAGACTATGTTCCTCTATTGTGAGAAGTGTAGTTATGTAGAAAATTAAATGGAAAAAGCAAAACCACCACCAGGAAATGAAGTTTCATGTCTCTATTATCCAAAGAGTTTGGTCTTTTACTTACTTTGAAATTTTCAGTTCTGTGGTCATTTTAGACTTGCTAATTTTGAGGGCTGCACCAATAAATGATGTCTTTTAATTCCTACTGAAATGATGTATTTATAATTTTAGCTCTTTGATAATTGCATAGTACAATAACAAGGTTTAGAACTAATCAACTCGCTTTGTTTAATTGAAATTTAAAATGATATGAATGAATGTGTGAGATTTTCTTAGCTACACAATCATTGGTAAATTTTTTTTGAGTAAACAAGCCTGATTTAGTTCCTATGAAATGAGAATGGGAAATTCTCTTCAATATGTTTTTTTTAATTTAGTTTGTTAATTATTAGTCTTCCACCACCCAGTGCTAGATTCGGGGTCAGCCAACTATGGCCCACTCACAGCTGGTTTAGTTTTATTGAGATATAATTCACATACCATACAATTCACCCATTTAAAGTGTAAAATTCAGTGGCTTTTAATGTAGTCAGAGAGTTATGCAGCCATCACCGCGATCAATTTTAGAACATTTTTGTTACCCCAAAAGGAAATCATACCTGTTTTTGTAACAGTCTTCAAGCTAAGAATGATTTTCACATTTTTTAAAGAGTGTTTAAAAAAGAGAAAGAAAAATGCAAAGAAGAATATGTAACAGTGCAAGAGAGGTTCATGTGGCCAAAAAGCCTAAAATCTGTACTATCTTGCCCTTTACAGACAGTCTGGACCCTCATTTGCAGATTAACATTTTGCAGCATTTGTTTCCTCTCTCCCTCTTCCCAACCACATACATAGAGACTTTTTTTTCTGGTGAACTTTGTGAATTTCAGAAGTGACCTCTTAAGAATAAGGACACTTGTCTCCTTAACCACAGTACCATTATCATGATATTATCTAATATATTGTCTATATTAAAATTTCTCTGATTAGCCCAATAATGTCTTTTATATATATTTTTAAAAATGCAGAATCCACTTTAGTTTTCATGTCTCTTTAGTGTAGAACAACTCTTCTTTTTGTCTTTCATGGCATTGACATTCTTTTTATTTTTTTTTGAGACAGAGTCTTACTGTGTTGCCTGGGCTAGAGTGCCGTGGTGTCATCCTAGCTCACAGCAACCTCAAACTCCTGGGCTCAAACGATCCTCCTGCCTCAGCCTCCCGAGTAGCTGGGACTACAGGCATGCACCACCATGCCCGGCTAATTTTTTCTATATATTTTTTTAGTCGTCCAATTCATTTCTTTCTATTTTTAGTAAAGACGGGGTCTCGCTCTTGCTCAGGCTGGTTTCGAACTCCTGAGCTCAAACAATCCGCCCGCCTCGGCCTCCCAGAGTGCTAGGATTACAGGCGTGAGCCACCGCGCCCGGCCACATTGACATTCTTAAAGGGACCAGGCTGGTTGTTTTGTTGAATGTCCCACAATCTGGGATTTGCCTGATTGCTTCTTCATGCTTAGATTAGGATTAAATATTTTGGTGACAATAAATAAATGTTTATTTGTAAATAAATGTCTTGCAAACATCTACAATATAGATAAAGTTATGTTCTTCCCATTGTTCATATCAGGGGCATATTATGTCAGTCATGCCATTATTGTTGGTACTAAATTTGATCTCTTGGTTAAGGTAATGTTTGTCAGATTTCTTCCTTGTGAAGCTACCTTTTCCCCTTTTGTAATTAATGCAAATACGGGTTGATAATTTGAGACCATGTGTACATTCCATTCCCCCATGCATTTTCACCCAGTGCTTTCAGCATCTGTTGATCCTTTCTCTCCTTTTTAAATTATCACTTTAAATTCATGGATTTCTAAGATTTACTAATATAATTCAGTTTCCGTGATCATCATTTTTCCTTTTGATATTCAAATTATCTCAGATTTGGCCAATGGGAGCCCCTTTGAGCTGACTCCTATGTCCTTTTGACATGGCCTCATCAGTCTTTGAGCATTTCCTTGCTTTCCAGGCCAAAAAGATAAGATATTCCAGGTTTAGCTTGTATTCTTCTTGTCTGAGACTGGGAATCAACCATCTCTCAAGAGTCCTGCTTCCTTTTAGTGAGGAATGGTATTCAGATCTGGGGGACGGATGTGTTCATTGCTACTGGGATGTGTGTAATGGCTTCTAGGCCCTTTCAGTGAATGGAACAGAACAGTGAGATTATATATGTCATGAATTCATGCTGATACGTTCAATTGGTTCAAATCCAACATTACTGGTTCTTCATCTCCCCAATTCTATATTTGTATCTCTCTTCACCCTCAGTGAAAACCCTTGTCTTCTAAAATATACACAAAATAATTTTAGAATTACTAAATGAGTACCTCTACCAACAACCTTTCTAAGTAAAGTTTATGATTTCTTTGCAATTTTATTTGTTCTTGGCATATATCCTACTAAGAGTCTGTAGTCAGAGTATTGTGTTCAGAAGTTAATATAGAGTAATTTTTTTGTGTTATCAATTTATTATACATGTTAATTTTTGTTTATTCAAATTTCAGGTTTTAAAACATCCTTTTGTTTTAATATTTTGAATATTGTAAGACATTTATATGATTTAAAAATCAAAATGATATCAAGAGATATACTCAGATAAATCTCATTCTCATCCCTATGTTTTCTACCTGATTTCTACTCATCTCCATAGGTAACCATTTTTATTAGTTTCTAGTTTCTTCTTGTGTTTCCTTTTACAAAAAATAAGCATATGTGTATTTTTTCCACATAGAATGTTATTTATTTCATTCATTAGTTAAATTAGAGTATGTGGACTATCTTCCTGGTTTCTGCCAACCTACATAAAGTAGAAACTCTGTACACTGGTACAATTTGGTAGCAGTGTGGCTAATTGTGTATTCCTAGTTTATGTGAGTCCACGAAGAAGAGAATGAACCTGTGTGCTGCTTTTATATCCCTGAACTGAGGAGGCCTCTGTTAGAGTTATGACTATGTTAATTGTCTGTGTCATCTTGAACTAACTAATGCCATTACCTATCTGAATTTTAGTTTTGTTGGCTGTAAATTAGGAGGCTGAACTGAATAGTGAGCTTGTCAAAGAAAGGACCCGTGTTCTGGCCATCCTGATCACAGTGCCGATCACAGTAGCAGGCACAAAGAAAGTATGCAGTAGTGTTGAATAAATGAGCCATCTCTGTGTTTCCATACTCATCATGTTATCTCTTCCCAGTAATACATTAGTTAAGAGAACGATTTGATGTTGTGAAAGAGAGCTAGTCTTAGAAATTTTTATTTCATGCTTTGCCACAATTCACCCACAAGTCCCTGCTGTTTCAGTGTCCCCCACTTAGGAGCCCAATAAGGTCACAAGATCTTAGGAAGGAAAATGAAATTCTGTAGTCCACTTTAAAGACTTTAATAAATTGTAGAGTTACGTCCAGAAATGAAAGGTCAGTTCTTTATGATGTGGATCTAATCCCTGGCATGTTGTTTTCAGACAGAGATAGAGAAAAATACCAGCCAAGTCCCAATGAAGAAAACTCAGTGGGAAAACACAATAAAACAGAAACATGAAATTGTGGAAGAATTCTACCTCAAATGTTTACTTGTATTTTTTATCTTTCTTTTTATCCTTCTGTCTAAAACCTACTAACCTACAATGGTGAGATTAAAGGCCCTGCATGAAGCCATCCTTGCTATTCAAACCTCTATTGACCTCCTCTTTTCATACTCTATGTTAAGACCTGAATTTAGTACACTAACCATTTTAATTATATTCTGTTCTCAAAGTGTTCCAAATGATCTCAGTAAAAATGTAAGTTCTTGATGAAGTTCTCTTCTCTCACATTTTTCACAAATGTCCTGTAAACCTTTTCACAGTCTTGAGCACATGAAAAATATCTTTTGTTATTGGTGGTAAAATACACATAATGTAAAATTTTCCATGAGTGACATTTAATATATTCACAGCGTTTGCAACCATCAGCATTATCTAGTTCTGGAACATTTTTATCACCCCAAACGGAAACCCCATACCCATTAGCAGTCACTCTCTAGTCTCTCTTCCCCCAGCCCCTGGCAACCGTTCATTTGCTTTCTGTCTATGGATTTGCCTATTCTGGACATTTCATATAAGTGGAATCGCGCCATATGTGACCTTTTGTTTCTGGCCTCTTAGCATAATGTTTTCAAGTTTCACTCATGTAGCATGTATTAGTACTATATCCCTTTTTATGGCTGAATAATATTCTGTGTGGATTTACTACATTTTGTTTATCCATTCATTAGTTGATGGACATTTGGATTGTTTCCACCTATTGTACATAGTGCTACTATGAACATTTGTGTAAAAGTTTTTGTTTGAACACCTGTTTTCAATTTCTTTGTGTTATATACACAGCAGTGTAATTGTGTGTATGTATTTCTTTTTCTTTCTTACACAAAAGATAGTGTCTGTAGATAGTTTGGTACTTTCCTTTTTTTCATGGAACGAGATATCCTGAAAATTACTCCATACTAGTGCATAGAGATTTTTTTTCTTTCTTATTTATTTCTATATAGCTGCATAGTATTCCATTGTATGGATGTATCATAATTTATTCAAATGATTTCCTTGGATGAACATTTAGATTATTTTCAGTAATTTGCTATTACAAATAGTGCCACATCCAATAACTCTTTGCATATGGTGTTTTCCTCGGAAAATTTCTAGAAATGGGGTTGCTAGCTCAAAGTGCAAATGCTCATGAAGTTCTATTAGATCTTGCCAAATTCTTCTTCATAGAAGTCCCATTTTACACTCCCATGAACAGTGTATGAATGCCTATTTACCCATAGCCTTGCCAATAGAGTATGTTGTTAAGCTTTTGAATTTTTGCTACTCTGATATGTGAAAAATGGCATTTCAGTGTGGTTTTCATTTGCATTTCTTTTATATATGAAGTTGAGCATCTTTTCATAAAATCTTATATATGTTTGTGTTTATTGCCCACTTTCCTTTTGGGCTTTGGTCTTTTTTTTTTTTAAAGTTCTTTATTCAGGGAAATTTTTATCAAGGAAATTCGTCCTTTGTGATACATATTGGAAAATTATTTCCTGGTTTTTCTTTTAATTTGTTTCTGGTGTAATTGAATTTATCATTTTTTTTTTGGCACATGAATTTTGAATCATAGTTAGATTTTTCACCACACCCAGGTTACAAAGGAATTTGGTTGTTTTTTTTTTAAGTACTTGTAAAATTTCATTTTTGAAAATTTTGATCTGCGATCCATTTAGTATTTATACTGATTTACTCCTTTATAAATGGCTATCCAACACTACTTAATAAAGCCCATCTCTTCCCTAGTGATATGAGATGCCACTTTTGCTATATGCTAAATTTCCATAAGTAATTTAGTCTTATTCTAGACTTTATTTTTTATTTCATTTGACCTATTTGTTTGCCACTACCACACTATTTTAATTATTCATTCTAGGTTTTTTTTTTTTTGAGATTGAGACTGCTCTGGGATACATCAGAAACTGAGAGTAAAGTTGACAGTATTAGAAAAGTTTGTAGGTGATTTACACATGGTAATAAGAGAAAGCATATGGCAAAAGTTGTTCTTTAATGAGCAAATGTCTCTGTTCTGTGTAGTGTCGATACGATACAGTGTGTGTGTTTGGTTGCTGTTCCTCATAAAATGGAAATTAGGATGCTACAGTAGCATAACTGGTAATTCCATTTCTTCATAATTGAATTTCCTGTCAGATTCAGTATAGAGCTAAAGAGATGATCTCATGAAGGCTCCTAGACTAATAATCCTTTGGTTCTAGATCAGCTTTATCTTTTTGTTTCTGTGGGGAAAAAAATAAAACCAAAAAACCGTCCCACTTTTTAAAATGCTTTTTATTCACACTAACAGTAGCAATTAAACAGTCACATTTAACTCATTCTGATATTTAACTGGTGTTTCATCAGTTTTTGTAATTATATTTAGCCCAAGTTTTCTTGAATTAAGCTCATTTAAAATATTTTTCCTTATGTACCTTGTATAAAATCTCGTATTTTTGTATTTTTAATTCTTAATAATTGTCTTCTCAAATTTACATATACAGAGAGCAGGTGACTAGGCTTTTAGTTTTCCAGTTTGATTTTTTCCAGTGCATGTTTCTGAATAATTTATATTCCAATAGGAAAAGATGGTAAACCACGAAACAAAGACAAGAGGAATGTAAAGAAGCCTGTAGTGACAAAACCAAACAATATTAAGTCAATGTTCATTGCTTGTGCTGGAAAGAAAACTGCAGATGTGAGTTTAATGATTTTCTAATATTTTGTCTTTTCCTTTGTGAAGTGAATTGATATTTGATTATACAGATAATAGGTGAGGTCAATATATATTTGAGTAACATTTTTCCAGTTTCACTCACAAAGTTGGATATAGATTTCTAAGTGAACTTAGGCACCTCAGTGGCCTCAGTGGTTGTAACTTGGGAGATAGAAAAGAAAACTGAACAGAAAAGCAGAATTGAGAGTGTGTTTAATTTCAGCAATTAGCAGGAAGATCATGGAATGAGGATGAAAATAGAGGATGGGAGCTGTAGATTTGGGAATTATATATATAGGTGGTTGTTAAAATCTATGAATGGTAGTTTAGCAGTAAGTGAGGAATGAAGAAGCAAGGACTGCCTGGTTAGGTTCTTCTCATAGACATTTCTGGGTGAAAATTTCAAGTGCAGGGCTTTCTCATTTTGTCTTTCTTTGTAATTTCTAGAAAGCTGTAGACTTGTCCAAGGATGATCTGTTAGGTGACATTCTACAGGATCTGAACACTGAGGTAAGTAAATCTCCAGGAGTTGTAAAATATGCAGGGGACATAGGCTGAAGAAATACTTTAATAATTATACAAAATAGACTATTGCTAGAATTTTTAAAAATGCAAGGACAGTACCAACAAAAAAACCACTAAAAAACAAAACAAAAACAAAAGCCCTTCAAACTGGTTTCTTCTCACCATTTTAGGTGAGTAATTCCAGTTGTTACAGCTATGTGATTATGTAGACAGGGCTGTGTGGGTGTGTGTTTGAAGTAGTAAGAATACACCCAGGAGTCAGTTCTGTGAATGCTCACTGCTTGTGTTCAGTTGCTGTAGTGTATGTTCCCTAAATAGACTGAAGCCTGTCAGTCTGCAAAATCAAGCGTGAGATCCTCATCTTGAATTCTGAGTGGGAATGAAGGAAGAGATAGTGAGCTATCCCTGATAGAACTCAAACAGGATTAGCTGCACTGTGAATTTGAAATTTGGCCATTCCCATAAAGACTAAGCTCTCATATAGAAGTATACTTCTTTCTAAGTGACGTTGATTAAAGTGACTAACATCAGCACCACGTAGTTCTATCTTGACATTTTAAAATGTGATATTCTCAAAGGGTTAGTGAAAGAGTATGTTAATTTTAAAAAGAAAAAATTGGCAAGGGGTATTTAATATCTATTCCGGTTTTCTAGTGATTTCTGTAGTATTGTTGCTATAGTAACCACAGTGCAAGAACATAGATTGTGGGGCGGGGGGCAGAGAAGGAAAATGCTTTACTTATTGGGCTTCAGTGAGTGAAGAAATGTAGTTTTTCTATCTGGTGAACCAAGCATAGCAGTGAATGTTTTACCCTTTTTTCAGACACCTCAAATAACTCCACCACCTGTAATGATACTGAAGAAGAAAAGGTCTATTGGAGCTTCACTGAATCCTTTCTCTGTGCATACCCCCAAGGTAAAATGTGTAGAAATACCTTCAATCTTGACTTATAATATTGCTTTAAACTTACTTTGTTGCTTTTCTATGTGAGGGAAATGCCTTTGAATTTGTTTTCTATTTTTGTTTAAAATTAGGACTCTCATTCAATATACAGTTTCATGTACTTCAAAAATAGCATGTACCCGCTTTTTTCATCGTAAATTTTATAGTAACTAGTATGTATTTATTATAGGTATTACAACTGTGCTAAATGCAATAATTTTCCTCCTGGAAACAACTATTTTTTTGTAAACCTAGGTAACAGTAAAATAATTGAAGCTATTATGTTAATAATACATAAAATCTTTTTGTAAATGGGAACTGTCATTATCTCTGGTCAGGGCAGGACAGTTGCATAGTTTTAGTATGCAGGTCTAACTGACTAAATATTTTAAAATGTTTACAGGCATTTCCTTCAGGAAAAACTGCTTCGTCTATCTCCAGAAAGGAGCCCCTATTAACTCCTGTTGCTCTTAAATATGCTGAATTTTCTGGTAAGTCTGATGTCAGGCAGAAGTGCAAGGGTGTTGAGCAGTTGCTGCCAGAAATGGAGGCCCTGTGATGGAGGAGGTGGAGGTGATTTCAAAGGTATTTTGGTGGCAAGTTTAAGTTTGAAAGATTTAAATTCTTAGCAGTAAAAGTTTAAAAACATCCAATTTGGAGATTGAAGAGAAATGCAAACATAGTTTAGAAAGGGGGTAGGCTGCCAGTTCAGTGTTGGGTAAGCCTTTGTGCCCCATGCCACCAGCACTTGACAGGAAAGTGCAATGATGCCTACAGGAGAGCTGGTGCAGGCGAAGCATGCAGAAGACGAGCAGGAGTCAGGGGCAATGGAGTTTGAAGATGGTGACTTTGATGAGCCCATGGAAGCTGAGGAGGTGGATGTGGAGCCAGTTGCTGCCAAAACTTTGGACCAAGAGAGTGAGCCAGCAGAGGGGGTGAAACACAAGGCAGATCCTGGGAAAGGGACCACATCCTACTTGTAAGAGCATTTTATGACTTTTCTGGCAAATAGACCTATAATTATTCTATTGGATTTTGAAAAGTTTTTGAAAATGTGATTTCTGCAGAGGAAATTTTCTCCCAGATGTCTCTTGGGACATTGATCAGGAAGATGACAGCAGTTTCTCGGCTCAGGAAGTTCAAGTGGATTCCAGTTACCTTCCATTGGTAAAAGGGGCAGATGAGGAACAAGTATTCCAGTTTTATTGGCTGGATGCTTATGAAGATCAGTATAACCAACCAGGTAATCATACATAGGGTAACTATATGCCTTTAGTACAGAGTAGCACTTTTCCATTAAATACTTTAGTGACTGTAATTGGCTCAGGCCACGCTCTGCCCTCACGTGCATTGTAAGAGAGCAGTACTCATTCATTGCAGAGTTCATGAGCCACACTGATGGAGAGGAGCTGTGATGTCAATAATCCTTAAAGGTGCTTATTCTAAAAGTCAGTTATGTGGTTTTAGAATGTGTGTGTAGTTCACCTTTGATGTATCTGAAGTTATAGGAATGTACTTTAAATGGAATCAGTCATTAATTTGTGTATTTACTCAGCAAATTTGAACACCTGTTGTGTGCCAAGCACTGAGATGGGATGAATAAGCTGGACAAATTCCCTACACTGTGATGGAGCTTATATTCTAGTGGGGTGGGAAAGGGTTGGGGGAAATTAGCAGTAAATAAGATAATAAGTGATATGAAGGAAATGAGTCGGTTGATGGCCAGGGAAGGGGCCCGTCTGAGAAGATGACCAGTGGGCTGAGATTTGAGGCACATGCAGAGCTGAGGAAAGGGCATTTCAGCTTAAGGAACCAGTAAGTGCAAAGGCCTGGAGAGAGGAAGGAGGAGGCCCCTGTGGTAATAGCATAATAATCAAGTGACAAGATTGGTATAAAATGAAGTTGGAGATAAAGGCAAAGGCCATTTAATGAAGAACCTTAAAAGCCATATTAAGGAATTTGAATCTTAGTCTAAGAGCAATGGGGACAATTTTAAATGCAGGGGATGCTGGTCACATAATTAGGTTTATACTTGAACAGGAACACTCTGGTTTGTGTGGAGAGTAGGTGCCGCGTGTTTGCGTGCATGCACATGTGTGGAGGGGTGGCCTGGAGTGGGGTCATGGGGAAGTGTGGACGCCCTGGAGATCATTTAGTCCAGGACAAGGCTGCTAGTTCCTTGGACCCTGGTGGTTGGGGAGAAGGAGAAAAGTGAAGGCATTTGATATGTATTTTGATACAAACTTATCAGTGGATTGGATGAGTGAGGTGACAGAAAGGAGGAATCGAGGATGATTCCTGGTCATCCTAACGAGCTAATACTATGAATTCTTGACTCACAAAAAGCCAGGAGGCTGTTGAGTTTTCTTTTGTGCCACTTTGAGCCCTTCATTGTGGGATGGGGCTTGACAAGGTCTATCAGATTAATGTAAGATACAGTATATACCCTTAAACAGAGTTGTTTTTATTTAGATCCATTTTTGGGTCTGTGGTAGATATAAACTGCATTTTTCAAAGTGGTTTCTTGGAGGCTGCTTCCATTGGAAATAGAGGGAGTACCTAGATGTCAGTAAAGTCAAGTGTATGAATAAGAAGATAAGTGTTAACTGTCAGACTTGAAAGCCAGATTTACTTTAATCAAACATTGACTGTAACTAGAAAAATGTTAATGGTCTGTGAGGAGGGACAGAAACATTAATATGCTTCAGTTATCAAATGTGTATAAACTCTTGCAGAGCCACTTGAGTAGCACACTGCCATGTGTTAGTTTCTTAGGTAAAGATATAATCTTAGAAACACTATCTTAATCTACTTTAGTTAGGGCAATATGATTTGGTAAGACCCTCTCAGCTCTTTGATTACTTTGTTACTCTCTGCTGGAAAGTAGGCTGGTAAGTATGATTACATGAGGCTGAGCAAATGATTTCCCATCCATTGCTGAAACCCAAGGCTACCCCATTATATAACTGCAGGGAATATCATCTTCATGTGATCTCCCTGGAGCATCCCAGTGTGACTGGTGTTCCCTGGAGCTGTGCAGCATGGTGGGCCTGCCCATCCCAATACTACTCCCTGTGATTTGCTATTTCTGCTCAATGCTGCATTTCATTCCCTCACTTGGTTAATGGTCCCATCAGAACCAGAAACCTGGGAGCCATCCTTGATTCCCTCCTTTTCCTCACTTTCCTCACCAGGTCTTATTAGTTTTCTCCTCCTAAAATAGACAACCTATCTTCTCTTTCTCCTCACAACTACCATCCAGTCCCTTCTAGCCTACTGAAACAATTGTACCAGCCTCTAATTGATCTCTAAGCTATCATCTTCCACATTACTGCCAGAGTAATTGATCAATGTAATTGACTCTATGTCATTTCCTCATTTAAAAAAAAATCTTCAGTGGCTACTGCCTACAACATAAAGTCCAAACTCCTTAATAAGGCTTCTGATGCCTGCTGTCTATTAATTTTGAGCTCTAGAAATAGTTTCCTGTATATATCTTAGTGCTCTTTATACCCGTGTCCCTTTACTCATTGTGTTTTGTCTTACTGGAATGCCTTTATCTGGCTTATTCTTCAAAATTCAGCCCAGATGTCATCTCCTGGGAGTTTTCCTAAACCTCCAGGTGGGCCTAAAAGTCCTTTCCCTGTGACTCCATCATATCTGTTCCCATTGTAGCATTTGTCATGTTATTTTGAAATGATCTGGATCTGTGTTTTTCCTTCTCCCAAAGCCCGTAAGCTCCTGGAGGGCTGGGGTCTTTCATGTCCAGCATCCAGCACAATAGCAGACACATAGTAGGTGTTTAATAAATGGTTGTTGAAATAAACTGCACAGTGATTGACAGTCTTGTAAATGCAAATGAAAGGTTTCAGAGAATCGGTGTTGCATTTGCTGCTATAATTAAGTTTACCTCTTGAAGCTTTGTAGTAGTGTGGGGTATAAGAGTGGGTAACACAAAAGTGGATGATGCCCAAAGTAAGTACACCAATAAAGCATCAGATTGCCAGTGTCAATTGCCAAGGATTAAAACCTTAAGAAACAACTGTCTTTCTTTCTTTCGTGAAAATGAATTGATTATTTCTGCCCTTTGTTTACTGGTTGATACTCTTATTAGTAAACAGAGCATCATTTTGCAGCGCAAGGATCTAGAGCTGCACTGTCTGCTATGGTAGCCACTGGCCACTTGTAGCTTTTTAAATTAGTTAAAATGAAATAAAATTTAAAATTCAGCTTCTCAGTCACTAGCCACATTTCAAGTGCTCGATAGCCACATGTGGCTAGTAGCTACCATGTGGGGTGGCTCAGATAGAGAACAATTCTGTTACCACAGAAATTTCTATTGGCTAGTGCTGGTCTGTAGTAACAAGTGTTGGATGTTGAGATTGAAACATTGAAGCACAGTTATATTTGCAAAACAACCGCTATATGATATGTGGTGGTGTTGAATTCCTGGTACTGACCATAGTCATGGATAGGCTTTTTCAACCGGTACTGGGAAATATTTTGCAATTGAAAGAGGTACTAATCTGTTATTGGTCTATCATCCAAATGCTAAGGCAAAATGAAATTTCTAGTTCTGTAGAAGGCCTCAGAGATCATCTAATCTAGTTAACTTACTTAGGAGGAAACCGAGGCTCCAAAAGATAAAGTAGTCAGCTCTTTAGGGTGGAAGTCTGGGCTTCTCACCCTCAGTCCACTCTGCTTTTCTATGGTACTTCTTAAGTTGTGTTCTCTGCCATGGCACATCTTTCTCTGTTGTTGATACCAAAGAGTTAAATAAGATGGTTTTTTAAAAAAGTTCTTTAATTTCAGAGGGTTGAACAGCTTCATCATGATAGCAGGTAATGATCACTGAGCTTTGGTGAAATCAATGCTGCTAATAAAAATGAAGTACTCCCAAAGACCCTGTTATTGTTTCTCACTTTCTTACAGATTCTAAGTAAGTCAGTTGTTGCTGAATGCTCCATAATTATGAAAAGAATCTTACTCTTTGCACATGGGAAGATATCCTGTCTTCATTATGACTTTTTCAAGGTTGAATAATCCTGACTGCACCTGGTTTCAGCTAGTAACTTTGGGGGGAATGTAATCTTTGTTTATCATGATCTTTTTGTGGCAAATGAGGCATAAACAGTGTCAAATGTGTTGCATGAAATGTGATATTAGTTTGACTGTAAAATGAGCTATTTGAATCTTTGAATCCAATATTAGGGTCTTTATTTTTCTTTGCATGGAATTTTGTTTTTCCATCTTTAACTGTTGTGAGATGAGTTTTAATTTTCTGAGCTACTGTGATTTTTTTCTTTTTTAATCTCCCCATAGTCCTCCCTTCCCTCTCCCCTAACTTCCCTGCCTCCTCCCCCCAGCTGAAAATCACGCAACTCTTGTAAGAATTTTAATCATCTGCAGAAATGAGAATTCTTAGATGGTCTTATTTCTACCAGGACATGTGACAAAAGGAAGCACTGATGAGCAATCTTGTGAAACTGGGGTAATTGGCCTTGTGAACAGTAGCCTTTGCATGTGCCAGAATTTTCGTAGTATCTCAGATAAGTGGCTGTGTTGATTACTGCTATCTGATTATTCATAGAGCCCAGGATTTTGCACAGTGACCATATCTTGTGTTGACTATCAAATCTTTGGAGTCCTTTCTTCATGGCCAATTTTCATGAACAGTGACTTGTCCAGAAAGGCATTTTTACTTTATGGTATATATTACTTAGGGATCTCAAAAGGAGAGTGTCTCCTAATTTGGTTACTAAACCATATGTTAAACTGAAATAGAAAAGAACATTGTAAACACTACCTAGCCAGATGTCTGAAGTAGTTGTGAGGTAGAAAGGGTGAAATAGGAGATAATAGTAGAACCTTGTTATGAAATCTTTATTATATGGAATAAGAGATATGAGATAAATTGTTTTTCTTAAGCACAGTTTTACATATAGAAAAATACCGATGTACTATAGTTATCCTGACACATGCATATTGATTTTTAATTGGTACATACAAGTGGTAAAAGCAAAATTTAGAATTATAGTCTTAGATTTGTAAGTTCTCACAAGAGAAATATGAAATTTGTTGGAAAATACTTTGCTTGTTTTGTTTCTCAATCTGGGTAATCTTGGTTAAAGGGAAAATGTTTACACCAAGTTAGAATCATTCTGTCCCATCCTCTCAGTGGTTACAGATTGTACCATTATGATAGCGTAATATGGCGTAAGTACTGAATAAAGAGCTTGGTCTTGGGGAGCGGGCAGTGAATATAAATTTGCTGTCCAAATGAGTTATCATGAGGCATAAATGTGTGGACACATTCAGTGAGCCTTTATGTTTCCCCTTTTTTTTGATATAATTGAAATGTCTTTTCTTGTGCTTTTCCCTTATTCTTTTAGGTGTGGTATTTCTCTTTGGCAAAGTTTGGATCGAATCAGCCAAAACCCACGTGAGCTGTTGTGTCATGGTGAAAAACATCGAACGAACACTCTACCTCCTTCCCCGTGAAATGGTAGATGTTTATGATTAGCTTTTAGTGCTTAGTAATCATGTATGTCACACATTCTGTGTGCTGCCATCAACCCTATCTTTCAACAGGGCTATGCATTCTCCACAACCCTGATGCTTCTTCATTGTTGCCTGTCTAGTTAGCACTGATTGTCAGCAGCTCCATTAGAGGTTGGGAAATGTAGAGAAATGAAGTAGATCTCAAATTTTCGACTTTTAGAAAGAGTTTAAAAGTGTCTGAGTTTTGGTATATAATGCATTCTTTCCCCTACCCCTTATTTCCATAATAATTGGAGTTGGGCCTATAAGGTTCTACAGCATGACATGGCGTTTGGCCTCATTTTCATGCTTTTATTGCATAGGCAGCAGTAACATTCCCTCCATGGCCATTTAACAAGGTCAGTTCTATTTGCTCTTTTTTATTGGGACTTAACATCCCCACTCCCCTCCCACACCCTTCTAATCTCAATTGAACTGTGGAACTTCTTGGTTAGGATTTATAATACTTCCCATTTTGTAGGATAGATCATCTTTATCTCTGAATTGCTTTTATGATGCCATTGGGAGGAATTGGGCATTGGATTTAGTATATTTTTGGGATCTCTTTGTATCTTTGAACTCACCTGTAAGACTGCTATTAGATGTTTAAATGGGTAAGGATGAAAATTGATGTAGACTTAGGTTTCTGGTGGTTGAGAAGATCTTATGTACGGATACTATTTTTTTTCTCCATTCCCTTTTCTGTGGGAAAACAGAAAATTGATCTAAATACAGGGAAAGAAACGGGAACTTCAGTTGCAATAAAGGATGTTTATGATGAATTTGATGAGAAAATAGCAACAAAATATAAAATTATGAAGTTCAAGTCCAAGGTTTGTATTTGGTGATGAATTTTCTCCAGCTCTATTCGTTTGTTTGCTCATTTCCTGATTTAGTAAATAGATATTGCATATCTACTTCATGCAAAATGCCTTCTGCATGACTATAGTTGATTTAATGGAAATTTCATAGGTATGAATGTTAAAACAGTATATTAGGTTTGTAAAAATATTTTGTCTTTAAACTGCTTATAAAATAATGTTCATTAATTTGAGTAGAAAGATAACTCATAGCAAATTAATTGCCTCCAGTGCTTGTAACATGTCTTGTGCTTGTTTCTTCATCTGAGAAATGGAGCCCTATTTCAAAAGTTGTTGGAAGGGTTAAAATAATTATATTAGGTCAGTAGAACAGTTCTTGACACATAGCCAACACTCAGTAAATATGAGCTATTAATATGCTAATTATTTAGTAAGATGAAGTTGTTTAATATCAAATAGTAGCAAATGATTCAATGCATTAACATTGTAAAAAATTTAAATCATTTATTGCCCCTCTTGAATGTAAATATTTCTGAGTTCTCTAGTGTCCAAGAGAAGTCCTTTTAGCAGTTTGTCACTGGGTATTTTATTCCCAGTTGAACAGGGGAAAGGTGCCTTTTTGTCTTTATTTACCTTTGTGTTCTGTAAGGATTCTTAATGGTTAAATAAATACAAGAGCATATGTTGTGTATGTAATCTTGTCAGTTTAATTTGTGAAAAGTTTTTGTCCTAATGATTTTTTAAATATCTGCTTGCCCAGATAGTGGAAAAGAACTATGCTTTTGAGATACCTGATGTTCCAGAAAAATCCGAGTACTTGGAAGTTAAATACTCGGTAAGTCAAAGAAAATTACTGGGTTTTGGTTGAGAATGACATTTTTCTGTTTTTGAACTTTCAACTGGCTTTCAATTAGGAGTATTGGCAGGGCTCCTCAAGCCCACAGTTCATTGAGGTGGACTTACAGTAGTGAATAATTGAAATGGATAAAATTAATTTAAGTACACAGACTACAGGTTACACTGCTTTTCTCTGCTTTCAAGTATGCATCTTTAAAAATAAATAAGTTGAAACAGCAGGACTGTTTGTCAAGTGGAATGAATGCCACATGATGGAGTTGGACATCATTAGTCTGTTGAAGTATCCCTTGTGAGCAGTTGAAAGGTGAGAGAGGAGTGTCAGTAGCATTGCTATAGTGCTGCTCTTGCTCCCATGGCAAGCAAGGTCATTGCTGTGGGATGTTAATTAATTGGACCTTAACCTTTTCTTACCTCTCTTCTAGTGTTTTGATCCCACGATGTTGGAAAAGGCAACTTTTAAGAAATATTTCTGGCAGTGGTGATGAAGAGTACTATTTTCAATGAGTCCCACTCTATTGCTTTCATTCTTCTAATGGAGTGGTACTTACTTGGCTATTCTTTATCAGTAAGGCATATTCAACTCTGGACAGAAATTCTCTTGGGGGAGCTTCTTGGCCTATTTTTCTTCTAATGGGTGTCATCAAGATGCATTATTTTGTCATTGTGAATTGGTTTTGTTTCCTACTGTGGATTGTTTTGGATTTCATTTGTGGCAAATTACATTTCATATATATCAAAGGGGTTTCTTCTGGTACTTCACAGACAAGCTTTTGTTTATTTCAAATATAGACTTTGGAAAATGTGAAGTAATAGTTTTTAAACAAAAAAGGTTTTTTTTTTGTTTTTTTGTTTTTTTGTTTTTTTGCCTTTTTCAGGCTGAAATGCCACAGCTTCCTCAAGATTTGAAAGGAGAAACTTTTTCTCATGTATTTGGGACCAACACATCTAGCTTGGAATTGTTCTTGATGAACAGAAAGATCAAAGGACCTTGTTGGCTTGAAGTAAAAAATCCACGTAAGGAAAAATATATACTCTCAGACTGCTAAGTAGATTGTTGATAGATATGGTTTTTAAATGGGAAGTTAGGGAATTGGTCTATTTATTTTAGTTTGTCCACTTCCTTTTTTGTGTGTTAGTTTCTTCAGGGTTTTCCTTGAGTGATTATGGGGAATACATTTGGAAACATTTTATCTCTGTAATTCCTGGCAGTTTAGTCTGAGGGAGGCCTTAGCTAGTTCAAGCAGCTGTTGGGGGCGCATCCCTTATTGTGCTGTTGTTGGCATATACTTCCAATCTGGCTGATGAGGTCCAGCTGACCTTTGAAGGAGAAGAGAATCACTACCCAATGTGGATAGTGCATGTTTGGCCTGTTACCTGATGTTCTTCAGTATTTGCTTCTGTGATACTCTGTTTTGTCTTCATGAGTCTCTTAAAAATGTTTTATGATTCTTCCAAGGCAGTGTTTTGGTTTTTTTAAAATTTATTTTGGGTCCTGGATTCTTTGGAGAATCTGATGAAAGCTGTGGACCTTTTTCTCAGGAAAATGAACATACGTACACACATATATATGAGGATTTGCATACAACCCAATAATGTGGCTTATTTTTATTTTAGTTAGATGTTATGTCATTCTTACTAGAAGACAGGATTGAAGAATATTGCAGTTAATCACATATGTTTTAATTATAGTTTTTCTTTTTCAGTAAATAGCTGTTGATCTTTTGTATCTATTCTTTTTCAGAGCTCTTGAATCAGCCAATCAGTTGGTGTAAAGTTGAAGCAATGGCTTTGAAACCAGACCTGGTGAATGTAATTAAGGATGTCAGTCCTCCTCCACTTGTGGTGATGTCTTTCAGCATGAAGACAATGCAGAATGCAAAGGATCATCAAAATGTGGTAAAGAAATAGGATAGATACTATACCTATGCCTTAGATGCAGTACTTCCTTGAATTTATACAGCTTTGCTGTGAAAGTTGTGGTTTTTTTGGAGGTGAACAAATACTAATTCACTACTAAAACTCCATTTTGGAGAATGAATTGAATTCGTCTAATGTTGGAGGTTTCTTTTTAAAGACATAAATTGTTGGACTTATTTTCATTTATTAAATTTTTTTAGGAGAACTTTAAATGGACAGAGAGAGAATAATATGATGAACTCCTTATACCAGTCACTCATATTCAGCAGATATCAAGATTTTGTCACACTTGTTTATTCCCTCTCCCCTTTTTTTCCTCTTGAAATATTTTAAAGCTAGTCTCAGACATTGTACCATTTTACTCCCATATACTTTGGTATGCTTCTCTCAAAACATGCATACTTTCTTATACCCTTAGCACACCTAATAACATTAACAGTGATTCCTTGATATGATCTAACATACTCAGTCCATACTTATATGACTCCATTTCTCAAAATGTCTTTTGACACTTGGTTTGTTTGAATTAGGATTCATACAAGATTCACAGATGGCATTTAGTTTTTATGCCTCTGGAATCTCTTTTAAATGGGAATAGCTCCCTCCCACCCCTTTCAATTTTTTCAATGACATTGAATAATTAAAGAATCACTGTTGGTTGTCTCATAGAATGTCCCATTTTCTGTATTTGTTTGCTTTGTTGTGATATCATTAGACTTCTTCCTCTATACCAGGGGTTGGCAAACAATGGTCTGTGAATCAAGTCCAGCCCACCACCTGTTTTTGTAAATAAAGTTTCATTGGAACACAGCATGTCTATAGCTGATTTTGCACTACAGTGGCAGAGTTGAGTTGTCATAACAGAGACCATATGGCCTATAAAGCCTAAAATATTTACTCTCTGGCTCTTTATAGAAAAAGTATGCCAACCCCTGCTCTATAGCCTTCATATTCCTGTATGCTATAAATTAGCTCTAAAGGGTCAATTAGATTCAGGTTCAACTTTTTTAAGCCAAAATTCTTTATAGATGGTACAATGTGCTTCATATTGCATCATATCAGAAGACACATAATGTCTGGTTAAAGTATTATAATATTACTGAGGTTATGATTGATAAGTAGGTTTAAGTGGTGATAACCATTATAATTCTCCATCAACTTTTCATCTACTCTAAGATTTTTTTTAACCATGACACTACAGCTATTTTAGGCTGGATAATTCTTTGTTGTGAGGCACTGTTCTGTGCATTATGGGATATTTTGCAGCATCCCTGGCCTTTACCCTCTAGATTCCAGTAGCATCCCTCTCTACTACTTCTGACAGCCAAAAAATGCCTCTAGATATTGCCAAATGTCCTGGGGTGGGTGTGGATAAAAAAAAATTATCCTCAATTGAGAACAACTGATCTAATGGCTTTGTTTATTATTCTTTTTGCCTGAATTAGTTATTTTGTTAGAAGTTGTAAGATGGTGGTTTTCTTTCTTTCTTTTTTTATTTTTTTTTGAGACTGAATCTCACCGTGTTGCCCAAGCTGGATTCAAACTCGTGGGCTCGAGCAATCCTCCTGCCTCAGCCTCTACAGGCACATGCCACCATTTCTGGCTTAAAATGGTGGTTTTCTAATTCTGTTCATATTTATTAGTTTAATTTTTCTATAAAATTAAGTTTTCTTCTTTAACCAGCATCATTTGGTTATGCTGTAATAGTTTATACAGGAAAGACAGGATAAATGTTAATTCTTTCTCTTTCATTGCTAGTTTTCCAAGCAGGAGGTTGGGGACCTATATTGCATGTAGTGGTAACTGATTATTTTTATTGTTGTTACTTTTTTAAAAACTTCCTTTTTTATAGAATATCATTATAAACACATGGATTTTATATATATTCAGTATGTTTCAATCTATTTTCAATCTATTGCATTCACTTTTTTTTTTTTTTTTTTTTTGGTGTGACAGGGTCTTGCTTTTTTGCCTGGGCTAGAGTACAGTAGCATCATCATAGCTCACTGCAACCTCAAACTGGTGGGTTTAAGCAATCCTCTTACCTCAACCTCCCAAGTAGCTAGGACTATAGGAGTGCATTATTATGGCTGGCTAATTTTTCTATTTTTTGTAGACACCAGGGGTAGGGGTGGGAGGGTGTCTCACTATGTTGCTCAGGCTGGTCTCAAACTCCTGGCCTTAGGCAATCATCCCACCTTGGCCTCCCAAAGTGCTAGGGTTACAGGTGTGAGTCACAGCACCTGGCCCATTATTGTTATTTTTGATGCTTACATTTGTCTCACTTTGGTCAATGGGAGCTTCTTTGTGTGTGCACCTAAGTCCTTTTGACGTTGATAATGATCTTTTAAAATATCTTTTTTGTATTATTTTCACTCTGGTTTTTTTTTTAGTATGTGATTTGATCTTTTAATAATAGTTAATACAGTAGATGGCCATTGTTAATAGTTAAGTGTTTGGGAAAGGTTTAATTAGACTTAGTTAAAATTTTTAAAAAGTAACCATCTCCTAGTGCCCAGAGTGAGGTTTCTACATACCATTTCCTAATAAAGGAAATTGGACTCAGTGGAGAAATGGCTGAGTCAGGGCAGGAAATGTCCAAGATAAGTCTAGAATGTCTCGTTATACCAGAAAGCAAGGACAGTATTAAAATCTACTAAAGATATGTCAGATTAAGTAACTTGGAGAGTTTTCTGGCCAAAGATGGGACATGTGAGCATAATAAGAATAATTGCAACAGATTGAAACATATCGGATCCATGAGTTCATAATGATAATGTCAACAACACCACCACCCCATTGGTCACTTGTGAAGGAAGCTAAGTAACCAACTCATTATTTTGAAAACTGGTAAATAAAGGGATTGAATCAACTATTCATTCATTCATTCGTTTATTTATTTATTTTTGAGATTAAAGTCTCTGTCGCCTGGGCTGGAGTGCAGTGGCACCGTCATAGCTTATTGTAACCTCGAACTCCTGGACTCAAGGAATCCTTTTGCCTCAGCCACCTGAGTAGCTAGGACTACAGGCACACACCACCACGCCTAGCTGATTTTTAAATTTTTTTGTAGAGAGGGGATCTTGCTATGTTACCTAGGCTGGTCTCGAACTCCTGGCCTCAAATGGTCTTCCTGCCTTGGCCTCCCAAAGTGTGGGGATTATAGGAATGAGCCACTGTGCCTAGCCTCAAGTGTTTATTTTGACTTTTCTGAACACATACTGTACCTTAGGTAACCAAATAATTGGTGAAGGGAAGTTTCTCTTCATAGACCGTTTCCAGCTAATAAATGAAGGAAAAACAGACTATTACTTTGTAATATTCTACTTTGTAATCCTCAGTGGAATAATGGACCTAGGTAGTGATCACCAGTGGCTGCTGATATCACTAGATAGAGATAAGTAGACATTATGTGCCTGTGCCTTCTGATAAAAGTAATCAATAGTACCTCTAAAGTATTCTTGCCAAAATATTGAACCTGGTTTTTTTTTTTTTTTTTTTTTTGAGACAGAGT